CGCCCCCTCCGCAGCCTCCGCCTCCCCCGCCCAGCCTGGGAGCTCCCGGGCAGCCTGGCGGTGGCAGCGGGGTGGTGGAGGTGTACAGTGCCCCTGCTCCCATGGCAGCATCCAGCACCGTGGAGATCCAGACCCTGGGCATGCAGCCCTACCCACCCATGGAGGTAAGACTGGGGCTGCTCGTAAGAATCGGTCCTCAGAGAATCACAGAATGGGTTGGGTTGGAAGGGACCTTAAAGCTCATCCCTTTGGGATGAAAGCCTTTGGGATGGACACCTCCCACTGGATCAGATTGCTCAACACCCCATCCAATCTGGCCTTGAGGGATGTGGAATTATAGTGTGGGAAGGTGGGCTAGGTTATTTGACAACAGTTATTTTCTCTGGGAGAAGGTAGCAATCAGAAGGGTTTCAGTAAGATGATGAGGATTCTGAGAACTGGAGAAACACCTAAGAGAGACACAGGCCTGGCACAGGCTTAGGAGACCTGAACATTTGTTTCTGGCTGAGGGGCTACCTCAGTATGTTGGGTAGTATGACAACTACCTGAGTATGTTGGGAGTGAGAGGGACTAGAGGTGAGGGGTTCACCTTCTATAGAAGCACAAAGTATCACACTGCACACCTCAGGCTTATGTGGAGAGAAAAAGTCTAAATCTCAATGAGCTTGTCAAGATGGCTTTTGCTAAAGAATGGCACAGACAAGGTGGATCTACTGGTGGATCAGGTGTTTGCAGTCTATACATTTGCACTACTTTTCACAACGAGAGCTGCTGGATGTGACTGAGGTTTGACTTCCTTACCTGTATAATTGGCATCTGATCTGGAACTGCCAGTGGACAGGAATGGTTGGGGATCTTGGATAAGTAATGGTCTGTGTTAATTTATCAGGGTGGGCAGTAGAAATGCCCTTAAACTATCACCCCAAACTGATCACTGTGTCTCTTCAGTATTCTTTCCTGGTCTTGATGCTGACATAAACAGCCGTGCTTTGGCACCTGAAGTTTCATTGTGCCTTCCTTCCCTTCTGCAGTCCTGCCAGGACTGGCAGCAGGACCTGGAGATCCCTGTTTCAGGGCTGGTGTGAACCCACAGGGTCAGTAATCCTTCTGGTAACCTGCTCCAGAGGGATAAGAAACTCTGCCAGGCATGAGACATAGATAAGGGACAAGACAGCTCCCTCAGCGTTTCTCTGTGGCTCTGTTCCTGCTGTAATAACTTCTGGATGCTTTTTGATGTTCAGCAGCAGAGCTTCACACTGTGCAGGGTGTTAGTTTTGGTTAGAGAGACATTGTTGGACTGGTAACCAGAAATTTGATCTAGTTTGGCAGAAGCAAAGTCAACCCAACTGCAGCCTGGTGTGGGTGGAGATGGAAGTTATGGCATGGTATAATTTTCTGTAGCAAACCTGTTCCACTGATGAATTGCCCTCTTACAGGTACCAAGCCAGTGTGTGGAAAGCCCTGTGTACCCCTCTCCCCCTGTGTACAGCCCTGGAAAGCAGGGGTTCAAGGCCAAGAGCACCAGTGCTCCCACCCCCCTGAGCAGTGCAGGAGGAGGCTCTGTGGTTGGCTTTGATTCCCCTGCTGCTGCCAAAACTCGCCGCTGCAAGAATGAGAGTGGGCTGCAGGAAGGTGAGTCCCTTCTGGCACCTGCCCTGTGGGTCACTGGGCTTGTCCTGAGTGGGCTGCAGGAAGGTGAGTCCCTTCTGGCACCTGCCCTGTGGGTCACTGGGCTTGTCCCAGCCATGGGCTCCCTGGGGGTGGCACTGGCTGTGCAGCTCTGGAGGGGGAACACCGTGGCCTTGCATGAAACTGGTGGGTGACCTGGTGGGTTCACAGGAGAGCAGAGCTGAGGCCCTTCCTCTCACACATGCTGTGTCTTTTCCCAATGCCCAAAGCACCTTTTAGGTTGGTGCTTTGTAGCTGGAAAGGTCTCTGGAAGGCAGTGGTTGTTCCCTGAGGGGGATGCCCTGCCCCATCAGACTACACTGCTCAGGACTTGCAGAGTTGGCTCAGGCTGTGTTAAATGAAGGTTTGTGCCCATAACCACTCCCCAGTCTGGCCAGGCAGATGTTATCTTTCCATAAGCTCTTTATTCTTGGTCATGTGAATGGTCATGTCTTGGGGTGAGGGCCCCACACAGTGGGGGCTGTGCCTCATGATCTCATTCTTGTGTGTGCTCTTCCTTTCAGGCAAACCCAAGTCCCCCAAGTTGAAATGCACATACTGTGACAAGGCCTTTACCAAGAACTTCGACCTGCAGCAGCACATCAGGAGGTAACAGTGCCCTACCCTGCACACTGCAGAGTGGCTGTGCTGGAGCAGGGCACAGCTCTGCTGAGGGAGTCTGTGCAGTCCAGTTTGTTATATCCCAGAATCTGTGCTGCAGTGGGAGGGATTCTTCATTCCTCTCACCCCAGGATACCTTTTCCCCAGGGACTGGAGTGAAGGCTGTATCATGGATGTAATCTTCGTGCTGATTATGTGCTGGGACTGGAGGCTTATTTTCCTTGCTGATGAGACCTTGACAGCCAAACCTTGTGTCACCTTATCACTGGAGTAGCAGCATTCCCACTGCTTGCCTCTGCCCTTTCCTTTCCCTCCCTAGCAAGCTGCAGCCTTCCTGTTTGCTGCTGTTAGCAAGGTGTAAGCCAAGCTCAGTGTCTTTACAGGGAGCGCTAATCAGAGAGCTCTTCCCTGGCAGGTGGAAGCTGAAATCAGCAGAGTTTTTTTCCCCCAGTGGAATCAGCTGAACTCAGAACAGATGGGAAGGAACAAGTGGTTTTTGCACCTCTTCCCAGCCTGGACTCTTTACTTTCTCTTGAAGCAGAAGGGCAGAGTAGAAAGACCTTTTTGCTATGGACAAAGGAGAACACATTCAGGCAGAGCAGGGAGCTGCAAGCTAGAAGAGATGTGTGGAGGAGAGAGAAGCATGACAGGGAAGAAAAGGCTTGTACTCTTGAGAAATTGATGGGGTCCCCAAGGTCTGTTCAGGGACCCTGACTGTGAATACCCTGGTGTTGCTGCAGAGCTGTTTTCTTCTCCTGGTTCTTCCTTGTCATTCCCAGACCACAGGTGTTTTGTCTGTGCACCAGCCTTGTTTCCCCAGGCCTCTCACAGTCCACCTCCTCTGGTGAATCAGCTCTCAAATCCCTTGTTTGGTGGATCCAGGTTTGATCTGCCAAACCGGGTGCCCAGCAGTGTCCTTTGGCAGCCACTCCCTCATGGGCCCTGCCTGGGGGCTGTCTCCTCTCTCCACCAGCTGCTGACCTGGTGCCTTCCCCTTCAGTCACACAGGTGAGAAGCCCTTTCAGTGCATCGTGTGTGGCCGAGCTTTTGCCCAGAAGTCCAACGTGAAGAAGCACATGCAGACCCATAAAGTGTGGCCTCCAGGGCTGGGCTGCACCATCTCCCGCAACTCCATCACTGTGCAGGTCATGGCCCTGAACCCCAACCAGCCTGAGGATGAGGAGAACACAGGTGTGCCTGGGGATGGTGTGTGTGGGGCAGAGCAGTGGTGTGAGGAGGCTGCAGGTCTCAGCACCTCCACAGAGGGAGGGAGGGGAGCTGCATGTGCTGTTTGCATTCCTTGGTGGTATTTAGCATCTCACACTAAGAGTGGAATTTGCTCAGCTCCAGTTGGAAGCTGCATCATTCCACACCTCCATGGTGGGTTCAGGTGCTGGTGGAGACAGTGGCTTCAAACTCTGTCCCAGTATGTGCATAAACAGGACAAGGTGTCTTCCCCTTCTCACTCCCTGGCACTACAGCTTTGGCAATGCACCAGCCACACCTGACAGCTCTGGCCTAGGGGACAGACAGCTGCTGGTTTAAGATAGCCCAGTGCTCTGGCTTTGCTCTGTGCAGGTCATGCCTAGGCTGGACCTGGCCACAGCGGCCACTGTAAACACTTGAGGCAGAGAAGAGCCCCTTGCTGGTGTCTGGATCCCCTTTCTGCTGGTGGTCCCAGACCTGACAGGGGAGGGAATGCAGTGGCAATGTCATGTCTAGGACAAGCAACAACTGGAGCTGCTCTTTGTAGGCATCATGGACTCTAAACCACTGGCTGGATCTTACCTCCTGTCTTCTGCCAGTGGTGGGAGTAAATCTGTCTCTGGTTCACTGCTGGAGGCCTGTTCTCTGGCTGCTCCACAGAGCACAGTTATATGCCTGGAGAAAGAGAATGGGCTAGGGAGGGGAAGATGGAGTAATCAGATCTCTTAATAATCTGTCAACAAATTTTAAACAACCATGTTAGAGAGATTCATCTGATCTAAAGAGTCTGTCTTTGAAAAGGAGGAAGAGCTTGGCCTGGTGTGTCCTGGCAGCATGGTGCTTGCAGAGCAGCTTTCAGAGCTGTCTCATGGCAGGCTGTGACTTTCCCTCTCTCCAGGATTGTCCCAGCCCTCCAGGAACGTGGTGCCCCCACCCCAGGACCTGAGCCCCTTGGAGGAGAGCGAGGCAGGCAAGCTGGAGGCCAAGCAGGTTGTCCTGATTGACAGCTCTTACCAGTGCCAGTTCTGCCCCAGCAAGTTCAACACCTACTTCCAGCTCAAATCACACATGACACAGCACAAGAATGAGCAGGTATGGACAGAGGGTGTCTGTGAGGGTGGCAATATTTGGATTGGCTTCATATAATGCACACATTATTGGGGTCTGTCCTGAGTCTTTTGGTCTCTAGAGCTGCCAGTTCTTCACATGCAGCTCAGCTCTCAAGGCTGCAGCTGTGTGGTCTGGGTGGCTTTGAAAACTCCTTTGAAAACTGAGTGACAATTCAGACAAGGAGGTTTGGGTGGCTAAATAGGAAGCAAAGAAGTAAAGTGTGTCCAGTTCTGGGCCCTTCACTTCCAGAAAGACGTGGAGGTACTGGAGTCCACAGAAGGGCAGTGGAGCTGGGGAAGGGTTCTAGAGAGTAAGGCAGAGGAGGAGTGGCAGAGGGAGCTGGAGGGGCTCAGCCTGGAGAAAATGAGGCTCAGAGGGGACTTTCTCATTCTCCACAATTCACTGACAGGAGGGTGCAGCCAGGGGTGAGTCAGGCTCTGTTCCCACAAGGGACAGGATAAGAGGAAACGGCCTCAAGCTGTGCCAGGGGAGGTTCAGGTTGAACATCAGGAAGAATTTCTTTACTGGGAGGGTTGTCAGGCATTGGACTGGGCTGTCCAGGGAAGTGGTGCAGTCATCCTCCCTGGAAGTGTTCAGTAACTGACTGCACTTGGCACTTGGTGCTGTGGTTTTGTTGACAAGGTGGTGTTCTGTCAGTGTTCTGTCAAGGTGGTGTTCTGTGGACTCACTGACCTTTGGAGGTCTTTTCCAACCTTTATAATTCTGTGAAGTCTGAAATTTTCGGTGTAAGTGGCAGCTCTTGGGTCCTGGGACATTCACCCACTTGAGTGGTTTCAGGCCCTTACACCAACACCCCTTTGTCCCACCTTGCTTTCTCAGGGGTGTGCCCTGAGAGTCAGTTCTGCCTGTTGGCAGAGGCTTTTCCCTGCTTCTTTCCATGGTGAGCCTCTCCAGTTGCTCTCTCTTCTTCCAGGTGTACAAATGTGTGGTGAAGACGTGTGCCCAGACCTTCCAGAAGCTGGAGTCCTTCCTTGAGCACATCAAGAGCCACCAGGAGGAGCTGAGTTACCGCTGCCACCTCTGCAGCAAGGACTTCCCCTCGCTGTACGAGCTGGGTGTGCACCAGTACTCGCACAGCCTGCTGCCCCAGCACAGCCCCAAGAAGGACATGGCCGTGTACAAGTACAGTACAATCGCTGCTCACAAGGCTTGTAGGAGTGAGTGGGTGCAGAGCATGGTTGGTGGGGCCTTAGAGGGGACATGGGGCCCTGTGTCCAGTGGCCATGGTGCTTTTGGACACCCAGGTGGAACATGGGGAGGGGTCCCTCCACCAGACTGCAAGGGCCAAACAGTTTGAATGCAGGGCGTCTCTTTGAATGACAGTGAAAAGCTGGGATTGGTTATGTGGGAAGATCCCATCACTGCAATCCCTCTTATCACTGGACAAGAGTGAGATGGGCACAGCTGAACGTGCCCTGGGTTGGGTCACAGAGCCAGGGAAACCCTTCCCAGACTGTTCTCTGTGACTCTTCACCTGCAGCAAAGGGATTGTAGTTTGTAGAAGCCATGGCTGGAAAAAAATTGCTGCAAAAGGATCTCTTCCTTGGAAAGCTTTTCTACTAGGGTGGAGAGAAAGTGTGAGGAGTTCCACAAAGAACTCCACATAGCTTTTGGAATGCCCACAGAGATATTCAGGAAGAGTAGGAAGCCCAGGAGATACTTCAGTCATTTAGGAGCTTCACAGAATAAATATCTGCTAATTCTTGCCTAGATCATAGTTTCTAGTTTTCCTTGCTCTACAGAGCTTTGTTCTACAGCTAGGTAGTGGGGATCCCTGAGATCAGAGCCCTGCTGGAGTGTGAGGAAGTTTTAGTCTGACCTAGGGAGAAGGGGTTTCCCAGCAGGAACAGGGTGTGAGTGCCTCTGTCCTCACTGCTGATAGTGCCTGTCCCCAGGGCCTGCTGTCAATCAGCTCTGGGAAACACTGCTGGGATGTGTGACCCCTGCCATGCTGTGTCCTCACTCTCAGCTCCTTCTCTGGGTGCTGATGTCTTCAAACAATGAAGATGGAAGGAGGTTTTTGAAGTGAAGTCCTTAGCTAAGGCTTGTCTCCACGAGGAAGCAGTGTGGAGTATGTGCTCAGGTCTGGGTGCTCCCATGGCAGCCTGTGGCAAGTGCACTAGTATTTAAAGACTCCTCCACACAGTTTTCCAGCATCTCCCTCTCTGAAGGATGCTGAGTGTGAGTGTGAGCTGGCACGTGGGTTGCTGAGGTTTTAGAGCACCTGAGTGGTTATTTTCTGTATCGGTCCTGTCAAAGATCACCCTGGAAGGTGGCTGGGCTGGGCAGGTCTGCCTGTGGTGTGAGGTTTGCTGCAGTAGCCTTGCTCACAGGTTCTGTCCTTTCCCTCCACATTCAGGTGTGTGAAGTGTGTCAATAAATACTCCACCCCAGAAGCCCTGGAGCACCATCTGCAGACAGCAACGCACAACTTCCCCTGCCCTCACTGCCAGAAGGTGAGTGCTGACCACAGCCTGAGCCAGGCCTGGACACCTGGCAAGGGCTCTGAGGGGGAACAGGAACCCTCAGCTCCACGAGTAGGAGCCTTGGATAACAGATTATGAGGAAGCAGAAAGTGAAGTTAACTTGTGGGGAGGGTAGGAACTCCTGGGGATCCCTGTCCAGCCCATCCTACTGCTGGCATTGGTGGGAGACTGTGCATCCTTCTGGGATGCTGCTCCTCAGCACTGTGGCATTACACAATTGACAGCAAGGTTTCAGTTTATGTGTTTCTTAAGAAACTTTTGGCACTTCTTCTGTTTGGAATTTTTGTTAGCTTGTATTTAAAACTCTATATGTACTTTCTTTATACAATCCTGAAGGTTTTCACAGTGCTTCCTTACTGGGAAAACAGTGACTGAGCTTCTTGCTCAGGCTGCCCAGAGAAGCTGTGGCTGCACCATCCCTGGAAGTGTCCAAGGCCAGGTTGGAGCAACCTGGGATAGTGGAAGGTTCACAGCAGGGGTGTTGGGACTGGATGATCTTTAAGGTCCCTTCCAACCCAAACCATTCCATGATTCTTATATTTTCTATCCCAGCTACACCCCCCCGTGCGAGCTCTGTGATGTCCCATGTGTGGTGCTGGCTCCGAGTCTGTGGCTGTGTGTTGCAGGTGTTCATTCCCCTGTGAGCCTGTAGCTGTGTGTTGCAGGTGTTCATTCCCCTGTGAGCCTGTGGCTGTGTGTTGCAGGTGTTCCTGTGAGCCTGTGGCTGTGTGTTGCAGGTGTTCATTCCCCTGTGAGCCTGTGGCTGTGTGTTGCAGGTGTTCATTCCTCTGTGAGCCTGTGGTTGTGTGTTGCAGGTGTTCCCCTGCGAGCGGTACCTGCGCCGCCACATCCCCACGCACGGCGGGGGCAGCAAGTTCAAGTGCCAGATCTGCAAGAAGTTCTTCCGGCGGGAGCACTACCTCAAGCTGCACGCCCACATCCACTCGGGTACACATCCCCTGCTCCCAGTGCTCGTCACCTCTGTGCCCTGGCAGCAGGAATGACAGAGTTGGCTCTGAGTCATTTGTAGTAACGTGGTTTCAGATGGATGGGTTTGGTTCGGCCTCGTGCCTGGCACTGCACTAGTTAGAAATGGGGGGGCACAGGTGGTTTCCCCACTTGCTGTGGTGGCAGAGCTAAGGAATTTGGCCCTGGAGAGCAGGAGCAGTGTGCAGCACGGGTTATGCCCATCCATTTATTATTTTATTGAGAAGTGGCTGATGGGGTTGGGTTGTTTGGCCTGGAGAAAAGGAGGCTCTCTATAAATCCCTGACAGGAGGCTGTAGCCAGGTAGGGATTGGTCTCTTCTCCCAGGCAACCAGCAACAGGACAAAAGGACACAGCCTTAAGCTGTGCCACCTTAATCAGGGGAAGTTTAGGCTGGACATCAAGGATAATTTCACAGAAAGGGCACTGGAATGGGCTGTTCAGGAAAATGGTGGAGTCACCATCCCTGGAGGTGTTTAAGAAAAGCCTGGATGTGGCACTCAGTACCATGGTCTGGTTGACCAGGTGGTGTTAGGGTATAGGTTGGACTGGATGATTTCAAATGTTTTTTCCAACCTAATTCTGTGTGATTTATCCATAGGGCAAGGAATTTTATAGTGTGGCACAGCTGGCCTGGTGCCCTGTCCATGGCCAGAGCAGCCTGTGTGGCTGGACTGTCCCTGAGCCCTGGTCTCTCTCCTCCCCAGGTGAGAAGCCCTTCAAGTGCTCGGTGTGTGACGCAGCGTTCAATCGCAAGGACAAGCTCAAGCGCCACATGCTCATCCACGAGCCCTTCAAGAAATACAAATGCCCCTTCTCGTATGTAGTGTGTCTGTACATGACCATATATCTGAACAGGGTTGGGATGGGGGGAATGTCCCCTGCAGGGATCCTAGGGGATGCTGTGGCTCCTACCAGGCTGCCTGGGGAGATTGGAATGCTGTGTGCTGTTGAACTGGCAACCAAAGAGTCCCAATTCTTTGTTACTGACTTCCTGTAAGGCCACATTTCACACATTTCATCGTTTCATCAGCCCTGTAAAATAACTCCTGCCTTCATGGGAGGCTTGGGGGAGCACTAGAAAGAGAAGGGGCATTATTTGACTACAGAAGTTCCCTGGATGATGGGCTCTCACTCACTGCCGTGTCTCCAAAAGCATGTGACAACATAGGACCTCATGTATGAGCCAGAGGAACTGAGTTTTGGAAGGTGCAGTCCCAGATCCATGGCACAACCATGGACTTTCTGAGATAGCCGAGGCTGACTGGCTTCTCCCTGCTCCAACCAGCCTCATACCTCCTTCCAAAATACTTCTGTCTCCAGCTGGGATCTTGAACCTGCTGCATTTCAGACATAGTGAGACACAGACCATGAGTAATTTAGGAAAAGCCACATATCCCTGTGGCAGCCTGTTTAGTCCTTGCCCCTCCCCAGAACTCCTGCTGAGTTCCACTCCAGCCAAGGCTGCACCCAGAGAAACATCTAGGTGCTGCTAAGGAGAAGGATCATGGATCTCTTCATGATCTGAGATCTGCCTTTACCTTGTTCCTCAGCTGATTCCCACATCTCACCAGCATTTGTTGTTGTTGCAGAAGCCACACAGGCTGCAATAAAGAATTCAACAGGCCTGACAAGCTGAAGGCTCACATTCTGTCCCATTCAGGTGAGTGTTTGGGAATGCAGTGACTGGGATTCCCTGGGGTGCTGCAGGGGATGTGATAGAAGGACTAAGCCTGAGAAATAAGAATCATTTACTAGCAGTAGATTTTTTTGTCTTTGTTTTGCTGCAGGCCTGTTTAAGTGAGTGTCTCTTCAGTATTATGTCTAAGCTTTGGGCTGGTTTCTAAGACAATATAATCTGTAGGCAGGGCCTGCTGGTGAGACTCGGGAGCTGAGCTGGATTATGTGGTCTGTTTGCTACCAAGTGAATATCCAGAGTGCTCTGTCCACTTCTCCCCAGTCCCATCTCATAGGCAAAAGAAAATCTCATGGGATTAGACTCCTTTCCTGTGTTCCAAAAATGATACTCCCAATTCTGATAAGGACAATTTATTCCCATGCCCCAGGGAACAATCAGACTTTTATTTCTTGGGGTAAAACTGGACATCTTTCCTTGTGCCCAAAGCCCTATGAAGTGGAATTAGATGGGATGGGCTGATGGTGCAGTCATGGGTTCTTTCAGACTGTACATTCCCATATTTTGGAGGGGAAAAAAAGTGACAATTTTTTCATTTACTAGATACACTTGAAAAAAACAATACTTCAAGTTTGTTTTGCATTTTCATCACAATTACCTGACATGTTTTTCTGGTGATATTTTAATGCTCTTACTTGGGGCAAGAATATTTATTTGCAGTCTGCAGTTTCCTCCTGAAGGGCAGTGGAAGGACAGGCACTGATCTTTGCTCTCTCTGTGAGCAGGAGATGGGATCCCAGGGAATGGCTGGAGCTGTGCCAGGGAGGCTCAGGCTGGATGTCAGGGCAAGGTTCTTCCCCAGAGGTGCTGGCACTGCCCAGGCTCCCCAGGGAATGGGCACGGCCCCGAGGCTGCCAGAGCTCCAGGACAGGGATGCCCAGGGTGGGGTTGTTGGGGGGTCTGGGCAGGGCCAGGAGCTGGACTGGCTGATCCTGTGGGTCTCTTCTACCTCAGGACATTTTATGACTTTACAAAGGATTAAAACAATGGTTAAACAGAGACATCGAAGCTGTAGCCACCCACCCTTTACTGTGTGTGGCACAGTGTGTCCTCCCTTTGATCAGGGAGCACCTCCTGCTCCCTGGAGGAGGAGGAGGAGGAGAAGCTGTCCTGCTCTCCCTGGTGGGGGATGGCTGGGTCTCACTGAGCTCTCCCTCTGTGTGCAGGGATGAAGATCCACAAGTGCCAGTACTGTAACAAGTCCTTCAGCCGCCGCGCCCACATGGTGGAGCACCAGCGCTCGCACACCGGCAACTACAAATACCGCTGCCCCACGTGCAGCAAGGGCTTCACACGCCACAAGTACATGAGGGACCACAAGTGCCGCCTGGGCTCGCCCAAGGACAAGGAGCTGCAGCTCAGGAAGGCCCAGAAGAAGCGGGTGGCGCGGGGGCGCAAGGCAGGGCTGGCACTGCCCGGAGCGCTGGGGCTGCCAGAGCTCAAGGACAGCGCTGCTGGGGAGAGCCCACCCGAGGGGGGCCCCAACAAAGAGCCCTTCCAGGAGTCAGACGCCGTCTTGTCCATCGTGGTTGGCGGGTCAGGAGCTGCTGACTCGGAGCTGGTCCCTGGGCAGCCCAACAGCATGGCCTCCAACCTGGCCCTGGCAGAGCTGCAGACGGCCTCGGACGGGCCCTGCACCATGCTGGCTGTCCCCGTGTACATCCAGACCTCGGAGTGACAATGCCCAGAGCCACTGTGTGGCTAGGGGTGCTGCTGGCACTGTCTGACTTGGTGCTCAAATTTATCCCCGTGGAAAAGACCAAAGCTCTTCTGGGGAGGTGGATATGGGAGAGAATGGCTTCCGTCTCCACTGGTTCTTCCCATCTTTGGCCAGAGGACTGCTTGGAGGCCACTGATGCCTACAAGGCACTGAAGAGAGTGGCTCCGTTATTTCTTGTCCCTCTGCACCACGGGTCAGCTTAGGGCAAGAAAGACAAAGATCCCTGAATCAGGGCAAGAAGAAGGACCATGCAAACTTGGAACAAACAGAGCTGCTGAAATCAGGTGGCTTTGCAAATCACAGCCTGTCCCATCTGTGGTTTTTCTGGCCTAAAAGCTGTATTGCCCAGTATTTGGGTGGCCCTTCTGAGAGCAAACATCCTTCCTAGTGGAAGCAAGTTCATCCTGAGATCCTTTGGGAACACTGTTCAGAAATACCCTGATAGACTTCTGTCTGGTATCTTCTCTCTGTCTGTCTCAGTAGAAAGATCACCGTGTCTGTACTACACGTTATAAACACCCTGGACCTCATGTGTGGAGTCAGTGTGTGGGAACCTGTGTATGGGGTGGGGGGGGCTCTTCTGTCTGGGTGCTGTTCTCTCCACAGTGTTTGTTCATGGTTTTTCCCCATCCAGGGATTGGATTTTCCCAAATCCAGGGATTTCTGAGTGCCTTAGACATCAATGAGTCAATCCCTGGGAACAGTTAAATGTGACCCCTGTGTTCAGCAAGGGCACTAAGGGCTGGGTGAGGTCACCTGGCCAGGGTAGCACAGGAAACCTGTGAGGCATCCAGGAGCCAATGTTCCAGTGTCAGCTCTGGGCCAGGTGCTGCAGAGAAGCTCGGGTAGCTGCTTCCCAGCCTCTGTGTTCCCTCAGTTCAGTTCTTGTCAGTGGTTTAGTGGGGAGTTGGTGTCATTGAGCAGCAAGGAAGTCTGCTGTGACTGGGACATTTGTTGTCCTCTTGGCTTCTCTGATTTCCTAAGCAGGAGTCCCAAAGCCAGCACAGGAGCACCAAACCCAGAAAGTGAAAATTCCCATTGTGCAGTGTGGGTGAGGGAGGTGCATGGGTGGGTCTGGAGCCCAGGCAGCTGAGGGGTGCTGCTGCCTGCTCCAATGCCCTGCCAGGCTCCTTCCTTCTTGTACTGCCCTCAGCCTCTTGTTTCCCACTGCCACAGGATGCACTGGCTTTTGGGGAAGGATCTGGACTGGGAGTTGCACATCCCTGCTGCCTGCAGGTCCTCCTGGGATGAGTGTCCCTGTGCTCTGCTCTCCCACACTTTCTCCCTGCTCCAAGTGTAGAGCAAGCCAAGCTGGGCTTTCCCAGGTGAGTTTGTGTGATGAGCTGCTAAGGTGTCTGTGGGTGCAAAGTGCTGCATTCCCAGCCTGTTTATCCAGAGGGAGTGCAGGGTTCAGTCAGTCCTGGGTATGGAAATCCTGGCTGTGTCTGGGACTCTGGCTGTTCTAGCTACTGCAGCAGTCAGCCCAGCATGACTGGTCTGACCCAGCTCATTGTTTGACCTCAAGATGTTCTTTTTGTCTCCTTCCTTAAAATCTTAAAAACAGCAGCTGGCAGAGGGCTGCATGCTGTGCTCCCCGGCTGTGCCAGGTAATGATGGGTTACACTGTCACTCCTGGGACACACAGTTCCAGTCTGGATGAGTCCTGCCACCAGTTCACTTTGCTCACTCACTTCCTAAATTACTTTCTGCTCATTTCATGTTTTTGGTGATGTTTGTGCACCTCAGACTGTTGGGTTCCCCAGCTCCAAATGGAGCTCAGGGCTTCCAGGGGAGGCTGGGAGAAGGGGTTGTTGAGGGCTTATCTCAGGTTATGCAGAAGTCTTGCCCCGCCTCATAGAAGGGGTGGAGAAGGTGGAGCCAGGCTCCAGAGGTGCACAGGGATGGCAAGAGAGGTGACAGGGACGTGTTGAAACATGGCAACTTCCCGTATTTAAAAGGGCTTGTGAGAAGGCTGGAGAGAGACTTTGCACAAGGGCCTGGAGTGACAGGACAAGGGGGAACAGCCTCAAGCTGCTGGAAGATTTAAATGTGATATGAGGAAGAAATTCTTCCCTGTGAGAGTGGGCAGGCCCTGGCACAGGTTATCCAGAGAAGCTGTGGCTGCCCCTGGATCCCTAGAAGTGTCCCAGGCCAGGCTGGACAGGACTTGGAGCAACCTGGGACATTGGAAGGTGTCCCTGCCATGGTAGGGGATGAAATGAGATGATTTTTGGGGTCCCTTCCAATCCCAACCACTCTGATTCCGTGATTCTGACTCAGTGTAAGGAAGAAAGCTGCAGAGAGTGGTCCTGAGATCTCATTACCAATTTGCACAGAACATCCTGCCCTGAGTGGATGTGCTTGGCATGAGCTGACAGGGCCAGGGACATCCCAGTGGTCCTTCCTCCTTAGGTGTGTCTGTGCTTCAGTGCAAGCTCCTGTCTGCTTTGAAGGGCAGAGTTTATTTACCTGTAAGTTTTGTTATTTACCCACAGTGTTTATTTTACTCTGCTTTCCCAGGAGTGGAATCAGATCAGGAAGTAGTTGGCTAAATATACCTTTCCTGTTTCCCTCCCCTCTGTCCCACACTGTAGGTGTCATTACATGGTCTATGCAGTCAGGTCTATTTTGAGGTGATGATGTGTGGGTGCAGCTCCTTGAGCTCAGAAGCCCTGTCTGGAGACCTGGCCTGCCCTTCCCAAATCCTGATTTCCCCCGGCTCAGTGGGATGCTGGAACCCAGCTGGCAATACTGGGTGTAACTCGGGGAGTGGGAGCACAGCCACACAGCTGCCTCGAGTGTGACTGCTGAGGGATACAAGGCTGGCAACTTCTCCTAACATAAGTGTGGGGCAGAGATACCACCCTGGATGTTTGATAAGTGTTTACGTATGGGGCAGTGTTGAACCAGAGCAAGTTTTATCCTGAGCAGAATGATTGTCCTCTTAGAGTAAACCTTGGAATGATTGTTGTCCCTGCCCCACTCTTGTCCAGCTGCCTCACCTCCTGCAAACTCACATGTCTGCAAGCTCTCCCATTTCCTTCAGGGGAGATTTCTGCCTGAGTTCCCTCTGTTTCTGTTTCCCTGGCAGAGCCCTGCACACTGGCTGGGGTGGATTGGAGGTGCTCAGGGCACTGATTTTCTCCCTGGTTCCATCCTGTGTCCTGGGCACTGCTGTTTTCTTTACAAACCCAGCTCCAGAAGTGTCTTGGCATTTTCTGGAAGTTCCAAAAACCAGAGCTGTGCCCTGGAAGAACTGGATCAAAGCAAAGGTCTGTGGTGCTCAGTGACAGCAGATACTTGTGTGTGAGGAAGAAAAGGGCATGTAAAACGTGCCCCTGTTCTCCTCAGCCTCCTGTGCTGTCAGCTGGAGCTTTCCTGCCCTGGCAGTGTTTCCATCAGCCTCAGTGATTTTTCCTGTATATTTGCCTTTCCCACCTACCTGCAGTGTTTTGGAGATGGAACAGGACAGGAGCCATTACAGTTGCTGAACTCCCACCTGCTAGGCAGGATGTTCTTTGTGTTTTCCAGAGCACTGCTTTTCCCTCTCACTCAGGGCACAAAAAAAGCTCTCTTACCCAACAAGCATTTGTTTGGGTCATTCTTCCTCTTTTCCATGTGGTGTGTGGTATCCCAGCCCTGCTCCAAAGCAGTGATTAATTTTCCTGTGTGATTTCCAATGACAAACATTATTATTGTCTGTTATTAATTAACTGTCACAACTTTGTGCTGTGACTAAAGATAGGAGTTTATCACTTTTACAGGTGGTTGAGGCCAAGCACAAAGAAAAAGAAATCAAAAGTACCTGGTTGGCACCAGGCTTAGGTACTCAAGTCTCAATTTCCTCATGGGATTTTGAACGTAGGTACTGTGAAATTATGGATTACATCATGGAATTATGTCCATGCTATCCCCACAGTTCAGAGTATGTGACTCAAGTGTCCAGGAAATGAGCTCACAGCGAGTCACCACCCATTTAACAACCCTGCCTGTGGGTTTAAAGACTTGCTTTTGTACAGTTGCCACGTTAGAAAGAGAAGTTTGAAAGAATAAATTCTCCCAACACGTTATCTCAGCAGCAGAGCAGGCTTGAAGGGTACCTCAAGGGGAGTCACCCCAGCAGTGGGGATGGGTGCTGGAGGAGGAGGCGACTGGCAGGGACAGCAGGCTGGTCCTGGGCAGGCTCCTGTGGCCACTTCTTGGTCACTTCAAGCATATCCAGAGAAGGGAATGGAGCTGGGGAAGGGTCTGGAGCAGCTGGGAAAGGGGCTCAGCCTGGAGCAAAGGAGGCTCAGGGGGCCCTTCTGGCTCTGCACAATCCCTGCCAGGAGGGGACAGCTGGGGGAGTCGGGCTCTGCTGCCAGGGAACAGCCACAGGAGGAGAGGGAACGGCCTCAGGCTGGGCCAGGGGAGGCCCAGGGTGGATATTGGGAAGAATTTATTGATGGAAAAAGTTGTCAGGCCTTGGCAGGGGCTGCCCAGGGAGGTTTGGAGTTCCCCATCCCTGGAGGTGTCCAAGGAAGGACTGGCCGTGGCGCTCAGGGCTCTGGGCGGAGGGGATCGGGCACAGGTTAACCCCTCAATGACCCTGCCCGGCTTTTCCAGCTTCAGTGACTCTGTGACCCTTCATCCGCGGCTCTTGCCTCCTTCATGCCCAAGCCCTGCCCGCCTGAGCCCTTCCTT